CTTTCTTTCTTTCTTTCTTTCTTTCTTTCTTTCTTTCTATTTCTTTTGAGAATTCTTTGTGTGGCCCACCCTGGCTTGAACTCCTGGGTTCAAGCCATCCTCCTTCCCCACTCTCCCAAGTAACTGAAATGACAGGTACAAAATACCACCCTTTCCTGGGGTGGGAAAATTCCCACGACAGGGTCCATACATGCCAGCTCTTTCCTGTGTGCTTGTCCTTAAGCACATGGAGAGAACCTGCCATCACCCTTTGAACTTGTGTGGAGTCTGGCTCCCTGCTCTTGGGAATCCAGGGCAGACACCCTTCCCTCCCACCCTCAAGTGCTCATAAATATGCAGGGACAGTTAGGTAAGCAATAATAACAATGATGAGAGACAATATCAGGTTCTCAGAGAAGACACCATGGCTACAATTGGACAGGGACCCTGAAGAAACTGACAAGCAAAGTCTGTATGTGGCTCTGAGAGGGTCAAAGGTCAGAATGACCACGGTGGACACTTGGGAGGTAAAGCTGCTGGAGCAGGGAGGTGGGCAGGAGCTAGGCAGGGACAGACCAGGTGTGAGGTCACATCTGTGCCTTCATGCCTGGAGCTGACATGGAGAAGTAGGACAGGACTAAACACAGCGAGAGAGTCCATGTTGGGAGTGGAAGGAAGCCAGTGGGAGTGTGGGAGAAGAGAAAGCTGAGAGAGGCAAGAGAAGCTCTGGGAGTAGAAAGAAGGGGACCCACTCAGCAGGATGTAGGGCCAATGACACACAGGCCATTAAGTAAAGTGATACCCACATTCCAAGGCTGGGTGGCTAGGTGGAGGGAGGGACACTAATTTACCTGGGAACCACGGAACAGTGGAAGGGACAGGGCAGAGAGGCTGGATTCAGTTTGGGGCAAGCCCAGCTTTGAAGATGGAAACCAAAGGAGATTCAAGTGGGAAGTGGCCCTGGTACTCAACAGGCAGGAATGCCTTAAACTAACAGAGATGCTCCAGAGCTGACCGGAGGAGCTGTGGGCTGAGGCTTACCTTGGGCCCAGATACATGAGTCATCTCATTTGACTTACTCTTCAGCCCTACTGAGGAATGCCATTGTTTCCATGGGGAAATTCCAGCCCCCAGTAAGTTCTATAAGCTCCATTACAGCAGGAAGAAAGGAAACAGCGCACCCAACACCCTGCGCATCACGAAGGAAGGTCCTTGGCTGCTTGCCCCATCATGTCCAACTCCCCACCCTCACTGTCCCCTCCAGCATCAGGGTACAGCTAAGCTGCAGGAGGAAGGAGGTGCTCTCCTCACTGGTCCCTGGGAAAGATCCACACTCTTGATTTATTTTCCAGAGTGGTTGGACTTGGCAAAGGCTGTGGAGAGAATCTCTGTGTGTGGCCACACTGTAACCACACAGTAACCATACTAGTATTAGAATTTACGGAAAATCTCTAAGATGCTGGGGAGCAGACCACCTGATGGAATTCACGTTCTTGACAAGGGGATATCAGAGAGCTCTGCCCTCACTCACGGTCTCCCGAAACCCAGCTAAGGAAGACTAAGAGGATACAGACAGAGGCTGCCCATAACCAGGCAGAGTCCTCATTAGAACCTGAACCACCTGGCCAGGTGTGGTGGTGCATGCCATAATCTCAACTCTCAGAAGGTTAAGGCAGGTTTGCTTTGAATTTGAGCCTAGCCTGAACTGCATGGTGAATTCTAGGCCAGCCTGGACCATAGAGTGCGAATGTGCTGTGGAAGCCTCCCAGTGTATAGAATCTGGGATGGTGCTTCAACTGGAATAACAGATATTAATCTAGGTTTAAGCATTAGGACAAGTTTTGTCCTTACCATGACCCAAAAAACTAAACAAGGTCACAAGAAGCCTCTCTAGAGATAGCAATGCTAATTGTGGGAGCATACTGGGCAAGAGAAAGACCTCCCACTGGTGATCTTAAGCCTTTTCTGAAGGTGATGAACTAACTAGCAGCCAGAACAGATGTCACAGTGATGTGTTTTCAGGGACACTCCCTCCCCACCCTCACTGTCATCTCCAGCCATGTCACCCTTCCACCCAGGCTATGTAGTGCCCAACCCCCACCCCCTCTGCCAGTGGCTCTGATGAGTCAATGCTAAGGTTGGGTCAGTTGCCCTAACTGACCCCTTCCCTCGGTGTCTCCAGAACCTATCACAGGACCCCACAGAACCAATCACTCCACAGAATGCTCAAGACACTGACAGCCATGCTCATCACAGCCAAGACAGCCATGGGAATTTACACTCTACAGGCTGCTTAGCAGAGACAATTCAGAGCAAGCTCTGTTCTTTATGCTTTGCCACCAAGTCCAAAGCCTCTGTGGTTTTCACATCCTATTGCAGGGGACAGGGCACTGTGGGTCTCTTTCCTACTACCTGTGAACTTCCAGAGGTACTCTGGAGAATGACAATGATCTCCTGCAGGAGCTCAGTGGGCCTCTGGGTTGGTGGCCATGCACTCTTCACCCTTGATCGTCTCCCATATCTCCCACTTCACTGCTATCTCTGGACACTAACCTTTGCTCCAGATCACAACCTGAAAGTCCTTCATTTTCTATACCTTGGGCCAGAATATTGTTCCAGAGTGGCCTCTGCCACCCCAGCCTTCCTGCCCTTTCAAAACATACTCCCCACAGGCGGCAGCCTCTTGAGCAACTATGACTTCATCTGAAAAACTGAGCCAAGGTCTTGCCAGTGTACAGGATTCTGACTACACAGGCGGCAGGCCAACTCCTGGCCAGCTCGACAGGTCTTCCACAGCCCAAGCCAGACACGTGCATGTCTGCCCTGCTTCTTCTGGATTCACATGGGTCTAGGTCTTACCGTGCTCCACTCTCATCTGGTGGTAAAGACAAAAAAAGTAAAGGCTAAGATTCTGTTAATGTGACTGTTATTAAGTCCATTTGCAAGTGAGAAAAGTAAGTCCCAGAGAGTTGACTAGCCAAGGTCAAGATAGACAGCAAGACATGACCAGATCTGACCACTTCAGGTCTTCATGATATCAGTCCCCTAAATTCCCCAAAGGACATGGGATTAAAATCCCATTTGCAGAACAACAAAAACTCTAGGAAATTCTTTCCCTAATCTGAGGGTGTCCTGCAGAAGAAAAGGCTTCTGGGAGAGTTGGGTTGAGGGAAGTTTAAAAGGTGTCTTGACCCCAGCTGGACTTTTTGGGAGGCACTGATGCCCAGATGTATGGTTAAGGTTGGGCTGCTACTGTGGGCACTGTCTCATGGTGCTGGTAGGCCTTTGGCAGGGTTGGTTTGCAGAGTCTGCTCAGAAATAGCTTTGGAAGTGACTGGGACTAACACACAGAAGCCTTGCAGGAGGTCTGGAGATAATGATACAAGCTAACCAAGCAACAAAGACCAAGTTGCCTCGTCTCTTAGTGAGCAGTCTCTTAGAAACAGTGCACCCCCGGCAGGGTAGATCCCACACAGAACAGTAAAGTGGCATCAACTCTGAGGTGAAGGCTAAGTGTATGGGTTTGTTTGCTTTCCGTGGTTAGTTTGGTTTAGTGCCCGGTTAGGGTGGAACTCAGGGTCCGTCACTTTGCTAGGCAAACACAGATGATATCCCTATTCCCAGCTCTGGACCGTGCGAGCATTTTGATCAACATTTGAGTGTATGCTTAAATCCTGATTCTTTCTTCTTACTTAGAAGACATTTTGAAATTTTAATGGAGAAAAGAACCTCTTCAGACTCTCAGTCTGAGGCCTTTCATGTCACCTGCTAGGAAACAAGATCAGTTGGTGAATTTCATAGCCTTTGTTCTTAGGATTTTTATTCACTCTGAAATGACTTGCTTGGCCTGCAGATGTAGCTCAATGTAGCCTGGCACATACAAAGACCAGGGTTTCATCTCCAACACCCCGTGAACCATATGCCAGGCATAGTGGGGTACATCTGTCAATCCCAGCACTTTGGGAGTGGAAACACACTGATCACCGAACTACCTAGTAAGCTTGAGACCAGCCTTGGCCATGAGACATTGTATTAAAAAGTAAAATGAAATAATATTATTTGCTCTTTCATTCTTCCAAGTTACAGCAGATGAGAAAAAATACAAAGCCTATTCTAGAAGACTCATGTGTACAAACCATCCAGACCACATGAGCAAGGCTTGGCATCTAAGCTGACATCCTTAGAGAGCAGGTGGGACACCAGAGACAGACTTTAAGAGCAGGAAGATAACAAGCAAAAGGATGCTGAGGTTCACCCAAACCCCACCAAGTTAATGCAGCCCAGTTTCCAGGTAGCACGCAGGTTGCTCAGGGGAGGCAGAGGGGACAGGAATGAAACAACTTCGAGCTGCATCATCTGGGTATGGTGACCAAGCTCTAAAGTTGTTGCTTGAGAAACTGCTGAGGCCTGATCACTGTACCCCCACAACCAGCCTGAGGCCTCGAACTCCCAGGAACACACAGTAGCACACTGAGCACGAGCACAGCAAAAAGACACAACCTACTCTTTAAACATTTCATCTTTTCCTTCAGACCTGAAACATAATACAAGATGGGGTTATTAACCACAAAGACATGTGAACCCAGGTTCAGAATGGGGAGAGTGAGTATTTCCATTTGCCGATTGAAGCCAGTGAATGTAGAAGCCTTTTAATGTCAACAGGGGCATCTGTGCATGTGTGTTCATATATGTGCTACTTATCCCAAAGGATAGAATTGTAAATATGTATGCTCTCATTTTCATGTACGGAGTTAAGGTTCATTTTCTCTACAGATACGTAAATATTTAATTCTAGAGTTTTCAGAGTGTCCAGGTTTTGGGGGTGTGTGTGTGTGTGTGTGTGTGTGTGTGTGTGTGTGTGTGTATTACTTTTATATACATTCTGAGACAGAGTCTTATATAGCTTGGTCTAGCTTTGAACTCACTGAGTATCTCAGTATGATCTTGACAGCCTCATCTTCTTGCCTACACTTCCCCAGTTGTAGGATTACATGTGTACACCACCACAACTGAACTCCAAAGTCTCCAAGCTATTGCTACACATTGAAAATATAGCCCGGGGGCTGGAGAGATGGCTCAGCAGTTAAGAGCACTGACTGCTCTTCCAGAGGTCCTAAGTTCAATTCCCAGCAACCACATGGTGGCTCACAACCATCTGTAATGGGATCCAATGGCCTCTTCTGGTATGTCTAAAGAAAACAACAGTGTATGCATATAAATAAAATAAATAAATCTCTTAAAAAGAAGAAGAAAATACAGCCCAAATGGCATGTGCACATTTAACAGCCAAAGCAACATTGGATGGTATTGGAATATGTGCCCATCAGCAAAATTTTGGGATGGGAACCCTCAGGAGAAAGGGTTTAGATGCAGCCCTGCTCTCTCTGGCTGGAGGCACTGCTCGGCATATGTAGCCGCTTCTCACACCTTGTTGGGTAAAACAGTGATCAGTGGGTGGAAGTGTGTGAGAGTTTCAATAAATGGGACAGTAAGGGTTAACAGAGCTTAACTATATTCAGAGCTTCCACTGTGGCCATGGTGAGGGAAATGGCTCCTGAGAAAAAACTGTCATAGACCTACCTCCATTAGCCAGGAGGTTCTCGTGTACTTTTCCCTTGGAGTCTTCCATGACCTCCACCACACTCTGCGCCATTCTCTTTATGAGGCTTTGGGGAGAGAAGAAAGAACCAGTGAGGTGAGGAGCTGCTGACAGGACGACTCCGCCCATCCTGCTGGCAGAGAAAGAAGCCCTCACAGCCGCTGGGGGCAGCAATTTAGCAATCTGTAAGGAGAGACTTAAAACCTTAAGAACCTTTGAACCAGTCGTTCCACTTCTGGGAAAACATCTTGAGGAAACAGGAAAAAAAAAATACAGAAAAGCTTTCTGAATAAAAATATGTTCTTTGCGGCACAGTTGCTGACAATAAGAAATTGGAAGCAACCCGGAGGTTCAACAATAGAGAATTGTTTGAGGATGGTCTATCCAGCAGAGGGATTATTAGGCAGACATTGAAAATAAGATTTACAAAGAATTTTAAGTACTGTGGAACAAGGCATGTATTATAATGTTAGATGGAAAAACACAAGAGAAACTTAGACAGTAAGATGCTCACTGGCTGTGCTATGGGCAAATATTTCTACTTGATACTTTTTTTTATTATAATCTGGTCATCATTTTATAAAAATGCCAAACCTTGGGCCTCCAGTAAGCATACTAAAAAAACTCAAGCCATATACCAGATCACAGACGGGGATGCAATACATTCTCTTTCATTCTCTCTCTCTCTTTCACACTCTGTCTCACTCTCTCCCTTGCTCTCTTTCTCTCTCACCATACTCCAATTGATACAAGGTTTCCTGTACTCCAAGGTTTCCCCAAGGTTACTAGGTAGTTAAAATGACCTTAAACTTCTGATCCTCCTGTCCTCACCTCCCCAGTGCTGGGAATGCAGTTATATACCCTTATTCCTAGTTTTTGTGTTGCTGGGGCTTGAACCCAGAACCCTGTATTCTACCAACTAAGTTATGTCCCCAGCTCCAAGTCTTCCATCATTGGCAGGCACAAGTCCCACTGACCCTTCATAGTGTGAAACCTTGGGCCTGCCATAGAAACTGAGACAAAGGAACACCTTTAAAGGCCCTGCTGTTGAGAGCAAGAAAGGGAAAGATGGTAGGCATGTTTCCTTGACCAAAGTAATAGAGCTGATACCGGATAGAAACTGGAAGACACAAGTATAACGTGGTTGACAATGAACAACCACAGCACCTGCCTAACATGTGTGATGCCCTGGGTTTAATCCTCAGCACTACTTAAAAATATATAAACAAGCAAGCAAACAAGTAAACAGGGCTAGAAATACAGCTCAAATACTTGCCCAGCAGATACAGAGCCCTGGTTCAATCTCCAGCACCATAAAGCATATGCAATGCAAGAACTCTGGGTGGGAGTGGAGGCAGGAGGATCGAAAGTTCAAAGTCATCCCTGGCTACTTAGTAAAGTTGAGGCCACCCTGAGATACATAAGACCCCATGTCAAAAATAAGTAAGCTTAGGCACGATGGTGTACTCCTTTAATCCCAGAATTTAGGAGTCAGAGGAAGGGGAATTTTCAGTTTGAGGTCTAGTTTGCACACTGAGTTCCAGGCCAGTCAGGGTTACGTAGTGAGACCTTCTCTTTAAAAAAAAAAAAGGCATATATATGTGTGTGTGTGTGTGTGTGTGTGTGTGTGTGTGTGTGTGATGTGATATATATATATATCTCAACTATTGTCTTCCAAGCACAGGAAACACATCGGTTATGCATTTTTCCACAGTCTACTTCCCACGTAGGTCACGTGTGCTCAATGCTTCTCTTGATATCGACTCTCATCTGTAGATGTAACAGGTGTCAATTTTCCAGTTTTCCTGTGATCATTGGTTTAGCCTCACAAGGCTTCTGAGAAGTTGAGTATTATCCTACCTCTTACATGAGGAAACTGAAACAATCTGCTCCCCATCAAGTGTCTGCAAGTAGGCTTCAAAGACAAGCCTCTTGGTCACTATGTCATGCTGCACTGTAGACACTGTGGCCTGCCCTGCATGTAAATGCCCACCAGTGTGCCTGCATCTCTTTAATTAGAGGTTAACAGTCTCACTTCGGACAGCACTGGCCACAAACCTAGCTAAGCTGTTTTCTGGGCCTTAGGCTGGGGTGGTACCAACAGTGTCAAAGGTTCTTTGTGGAGAAAAGGATGCAGTGAGAGACCTAGAGATGTATGTGCTCTGGGTGCCTGGCTGACTGGGTTCCCCGCCCTCTGGCTCCCAAGTGGGTTTGGCAGATCAAAGGGAGACCTGATGTCTAGTCTGATTCCCTCTGGCAGAGCTCTCAGCTCTTGCAGCCTCAGGGTTGTCTCCGCCCAGGCCCCTTCATTGTCCCATAAGACTCTGCTACAGTCCTACACAACCCTGGGCCTCTGTCACAAGAAGACCTCCTCCAGTTACCCTAAAATGAGCGTACCTCCTGTCCTCTGCTGGGACTCCGATTCAGTAAGAGACTTTACAGACTAACTAATCAGCTACTGTGCACCTAGCACTATGTAGGAGCTGAGACTAAGCAAAGCCCCTGCTGTCATAGAACTTCAGTTTCAGTGCTACTGAAAGTTCCTTTTCTTTCTTTCAAATCACTATAGTAACATGTGCAAGGCGATCCTATTACTATAGGCACTGCAACCTATCCAGTAATTACCTATCTACATGAAGGTGGTTAAGACTCTGACCGCTACCATACCCTCTGGCTCAGCAGTTGCTCAGCAATGTCTGTCGGGTGAATAAACAAAACCAGCACATCACAGCACCTCACCTGCCCGTCCGTGATTTTCTACTGTTCTCCATCTGAGCCCCTTCGAAGAGTCCCACTGCAGCTAATGTGGTCTCTCGGCACGTACATGGGTTCTGGAACATCTCAGAATAGCATGCTCCAATGAAGCTCAATGGCTAGAAAAGTCTCTTGTTCCACAGAACAAAAGCAACTTGCTGTGATCAGAAACTGCGGTCACCAGAGAATTACCATGTCACCTAACTAGAACATCCCTTTTCCCAGCAAAAGGAATGTATGTAAGGGTCTCGTGCCATTTTCAAATTCCCTTTCCTCCCTTTACACTATGTGTGTAAATATCCCTGTCATGTCAGAAGCGAGCTGCTTCCTCATCTACAGTGTAGAATCCCACCACCCTGCCCTGCCACAAGGCATTCCATAACACTAGGTTGCTTCTCATTTGAATTGATGTTGCAATGATCCATATATTTTTACCCTCTTGTACAGGTGTGTGTGTGTGTGTGTGTGTGTGTGAGAGAGAGACAGAGACAGAGACAGAGACAGAGACAGAGAGATGGGGTTCTAGAAGACAGAAACTACTGGGATTTAAAAAAAGAATGGTCATTATTTATTTTTTATTTTTATTTTTTATTCTCAATTACATATTTTATTTAGTATCTGCTGGATACTAGGTCAAATTTTAGGCACACAGGATACAACAGTGAATAATAATAATAAATCTTTTATCAAACCTTACTTTCTAAAGGGTGACAATGACATAACGACACAAGTGAATGGGGTGACCTCAGAAAAATTATGCAAAGTAGGCCATGGAGACAGAATATAAGGGAGTGAAGGATACTGTTGCTTGCTAAAGGGTGAATACAAAGTCCAAGAACAGTCATTTATAATGGCAAGTAAAGCCAAAATCACCTCTAAAAACAGCAAGCAAGTGCCCATTCCCCCTAGCAACGCAGAAGCCTGCCTGTGTCCCTAAACCCTCGCCAACAGCAGCCTTATGAATCCTTTTAGTCTCTGCCCATCTGATAGCTGGAAATCTACACCTCATTGTCATCCCGATTTGCATATTTGTGATCAACAGGGAGGCTGCATATCCCTCCCTCCTCAGACCTGCTGAATACAGAAGGCTGCTTTCTTCTGTGAATTACAAGTTCAAATCCATCCCAATCTCTCTTGTTTTGTTTTCCTCTCTTGCTTCTTTCACTGATTTGTATGAGCCTCCATGTTTTGGAGACCTGATTCTGGTGACAAAGCTTTGGGATCATTCTCTACACTATCCAACCAAAATGAATATTAAAGGTGGGAGGCATGGCTCAGTGCCCAAAGACATCTGCCACCAAGCATAAAGACTCAATTCCTGTGAGACCCACATGATAGAGGGAGAGAAACAACTCCGTTGAGTTCTCCTCTGGCCTCCACACATGTACACACACACACACACACACACTATAAAATATAATTAATTTTTTAAAAAATGTAACGAGTGCTAGCCCACATGGGAAGATATACAGATCATATTTTTAGCCAACACCAACTGCAAAAATTTGTAATGATCTCACTTGGTCACATGAATATACATATTTGTCAAAACTCACCAATCTGTTTACTGAAGATGTACACAGTACACATTTCACTGTATATAACCCTTCTCTCTTTTATGTGTATACATGTGTGTGCCTGTGTGCACACATGCATCCACATGTGTGTGCATGTCTGTGAGCAGCCACATGTGAACCTCTGGCCATATGTGTAAAGGATAGAGGTCAATCTTGGGTATCTTCCTCATTCTCTCTACATCTTGTTTTTTAAGACAATATTTCTCATTGAACTTGGAGCTCAACTAGTCAGCAAGACTGGTTGACCAGTAAGCCCAAGGTCCTCAAGTTTCTGTGCCACCCCTCGAAGTGCAGGCTTAAACCACTTAATGGCCTGTGTAAGTAAAAGGAAAACCAAAATAGTGGACAGCACTGGGGGAGGTGGGCCTGTAGTCTCCACATGCACAGACACATAGACAGAGGAACCTGGCCACACACATGCACCCACAAACACACACACACACACACACACACACACACATACATACACACACATACAAAGCTATAAACATTTTTTTTAAAAAGATACAAATCGGTTGAAAGGTTGACTGTTTTCAAAACACAAAATAGATTTTAAAACAATGTGTCTATAATTTTATTTTCAATGTTTATTTTATCTTTACTCAAGTGTCTGTGTGGGTATATATGCCTGTAAATATAGGTGCCCACAGAATCTAGAAGGTTGGGGGGGGTTAGACCTCCTAAAGTTGAAATTATAGGGAGTTGCAGTTATGAGCTACCTATGTGGGTACTAGAA